TGTCCCCGAGAATATTTCCCCGAATGAACGGTGACAATTATCATACTGATGAAAAAATCCGAGAGGTGCACTTCTTAGTTCGCATACGATACGCTGAAAGTATCCAAATATGCTGTTACTAAAGAAGCATGATCTTCAACAGTTTTTGTAAAGATACTAAAGTTAGAAGTACCTCTCAGGGTAACATTTTTTCTCATACTCAACAGCAAAATTTCGGACAGGATCTGTGTTGCATAGTGTAATTTGATACTCAATAAGTGAGAACCTTTATCCATCAAGTTGTTCTCACAGGAATAGAAAAGAAGAGCGAGGTACAACTAAAATACATAATTTTCATGGAGAGCGCTTAGTTAACCTTCAGGTGCATTATGAGTACATCATTGTCAGTTTCATTATGTGACAAATTAAAGGTTTTAATTACGGATATTTACGGAATACGCCTTCCGCAGATCTTAACTACCAACAAGAAGAAAAAGTGTGCTCCGAATGCACGACGAGTATGGTTCCATCAATAAAAATCAGCTCATTCCTCCCATCAGACCGAACAGCTCCTCAGACCCCAACAGAATCACCACCAATTTACTTTATGAAGCAACTCATCCTGTTTAGATATGTCCTTTCGAACTCCCGACTCTTATTCTCTCATTCATGTATGAAACTTTGTTGCATCGTTCCACACAACATTACCCCATTGTGTTGCGCACCCACGAGTTTTGGATCTCCACCGCAATATTCCACAAATACGACCGAACAGCATAGGCACACGAACAGCAGAGCATGGGTTGAAATGCTTGCACTGGCCTATCCGGCTTTCTGACACGAAGCACAAGACAAATTGAAACCATATATGGGATTCTAGTGTACTAACATTTTCTGTTATTCTTCGGCTTGGTTACATGCAATAATTCGGTTGTCACAGAAACAGCAGCCTTTTGTTCCACTGATCAATCAAACCACAACACCTGCTCTGCTTTGTTCGTCACTGATGATCACTGCTAAAACAAACATCAGAACTAGGAACGTATATGCCATGTATAAACAGCCGAAAGATTGACGAATGTGGAGAACACTGGTTCGTTTACCATAAGATAACAATGCGCATTTAAATCTTTTTCTAATTTGACTGATGCAAAATATATGCAGTGACTGTCACAACAAAACGAAGTTTATCACATATGAGAAGGCAAAGCATTGGAATGTACTGGTTAAGGTCTAACCATCTTAAGTGGTGCATCGATTGACCCCATTGGGGATTGAACGTAGTAAGCACTCCCAAACAGTGTGCCCTTTCCATAAGGCTCTTATCAACATAACATCGATCTACTCAGAGCATCGAATGGAATAAGCAGTACTGCGTCTTCCGTGTTATCATGATCCCTGCTTGATTTGACGCATCAACAACCCTTTTTTATGCTGCTAACCTTCGTTTTTCCTTGTCGAATTATCAATGTTTTTTCCGTTACCCTTTCCAATACAGTCCTTATTCAAGTCATATTCTTGGTGTGTGACTTCATCCGCATGTTCACCGCAAACCCGTTCACCTTGACTCACAGTGCACATCCTCGTAAACTTGTGACCTTCTGTCACCTAAGATTGTCTGGCCTCATCATTTGGTATTTAACACCCACTTGTCCACCTTTGTTTTAACTCCCTTGGCCTTGTGATCAATCATGACTCATCGCTTATCTTCCACAATCACTAGCCTCCAAATCGTCTCGGTATGTTTGTTTACTTTTGAACCACTGATCACGCGTCTAACATAGCGTAGGCTCGTTTATCTCTGCTCCGGTTTGTACATCCAACCTACCACTGATTTGAGTGTCCCGTCGTCCCACCTTCCACACCGAGTGAATGACTGCTTCAACACACTCAATATTTTTCGCTCACTTGGTGCGAAGTTTCGTTTACTCGATTCCCCCATGTACATCATTATCGACCTGCTCGGCGCTTCTTTGATTGTGCAACGATCGACTCGCGGCGATCACAACTGGCACTGTAAAGTTATGTGGGAGCAATCCTATTGCGGAAAAGCGTAGACCATAATCGAATCCAAACCGTTGTTTGACATTGTACCAGTTGTAAAAATAATGAATTGCATGATTATGTGAGGGTAATACTCAGTGGCGAGGATCTAATGTTCAACCACGGTTAAAATTGATTGGCCATGTGAAGGCGAGAATCTGGTCTACGATCCGCGGAAACTGCAACACTACAATTCGCCAGCAATACCAGAGTGATTGAATTTTCACTTCTCTCTTTCTAGCAAAGAGATGTGTTCGCAAAAGATTTGCTATCATTATACAGCCTGAGTATCACAGTGAACAAAAAGAAATCAAGTTGTTTATAGCAGTTGCTGTTAAATATTATTGACATGATTTTAGCTAGGCAGAAAAAATGTTCAGTAAAGTTACCAAGGAAAAAAACTGTGTGACTAGGTGAAGTCGATTCTCGCGCGAAGCTCGAATTCGAACTGGAATGGGATTGGCATTTGCATGCTGAAGTCCTCCATCAACGAAACGCAAGAAGTCCACAGATGTAGCGGCTCTTGTGTTGAAAGAAATAAATGAGAGTAAATAATACGTAGTAAGAAGTATCCTCGGTGAAACGGATTTTCACCAATTGCACGCTCATATTTTCTTCATCACACAACCTCTACTTTAACAGCGCGGCTTCTGATTGGTTGATAGCATTGACCTGTGGTTCGTTGTCTAGAAACTGTAACACATAGCCCTTTGTCTGGAATTTCCCCAGAATCTCTGAATCATATTTACTTAATTCCACTATTGACCAGCGGATCATACGATGACATTGTATAATGTAGAACGCTAGTTATTATTCCCAGTTATCCCGTTGAAGCACAGCAGGAAATGTGTTGCTTAATTCTAAATTCCATTTAGATGCTTTGGGAATAAGTGATCACGAATTCCGCACGAATTCTGAGCTTTACCACTCACATGATGAAATAATAATTATCATCGGGGAAACATAGCAATCAGCAACCAGGGGAAAATCACGGGTCTTGTATGGACGATGTGCTGAGATGTGGTGTATTACACAAATAGAACGATGCCTACACATGAGTGTAATTAGTAGTTATGGCAACATAATGGAAGGCGGTTTTATTTTATTGCCATCATTCCGTGTTCGGAAATTTTTTGTCGCACATTGCTTTTGATGTATATAACTCGGTATACCTTATGGTGCTGCTTAATATTACTTCATTGGAAGTGAAATATGCTGCATAGTGAGGGGGTCCGGTCTTTCTGTTTTACACAGTATACATTTCACTTTTCCTTGTGGTGCAAATCAGCGAGGTTCCGCAGGTCAGAGTCTTCAGCAAGACAAAGACAAGGTTGTGGAACAGTGTAGAAACCTATACGGGCCGGAGTCAAGTTAATTGGGTTGTTATATAAATATTGAATCCCTCATCTACGCGGACTATTACCCACTGTCTCATTCATCATTGACAGAAAACCTGAACATTCAAATAGTGTTCATATATTTGTTGGCTACCCGTCGCATTGAATGCGGAAGCTTAAGTATTTTTGCATCCCACCCTAAATCCTCTGTACTCTTACAGACCAATCTTATTTTGGAAGGACTTCGTTTGCAACTCTGTAATTACGAGCGACCAGAAGATCACAGTTTCGGTCAGTGGTTTAGCATTCGTGAAATCTAACTAATCTCGGTCAAGCCACTGACCTTTCTTTCCATGAATGCCGATCAATACAAATATCGTTAGGATGACATTACCCTATTAGAACTGGGCCATCGGCAGGCAACAGCTTGTTTCGAATGACAAACGGGTCTCTCACTAGGAGCCAATCATTTCTGTAGAAGGCATCATGACATGGACAGGCCAGATAGATCCGGCGTATTACCCACGGATAACAGCTGAATGTGCTAGGGTCAGGGCAAACTTGTGGACCACAAAACCGAATGATACAACTGTTTGCAAATTTGTACCAAACCACTGGGTTTCGTTGAACAGGCTAGTTTCTCCAACGAGAGATGCTAACTGTGGTAAAACTGGAAGTATCTTATTTATTTTCCCTGAATCAACAGTATTGTAGGTGTCGCGTGTCACGAGTACCCAGCTCACGCACAAATAACTCATATTCCATACTGCAATATTTCAATAGCTTACGAAAGCTGACATGCGGAGCAACTGAACAACTGGTACCAGCTGGCAAGTGGTCTCAAGCAAAAATCAGATCGCAACAAATTCGAAACCAAACAGCAACGCCGAGATCGCTCCATAAGTCCAATACAAGTTGATCCCTGAATGCAGAAAAGTGAACTTGGCTTGGTTTTTTCATCCGACTCAGTGATTAGCGTTCGAAACTCCCTTCCATCATTCGACAACCGAGGAGGGCCAAGCGAGTAAATGCGTCCTGTGATGCCTGCAGCCCATAACATGATTATTAGATCCTAAAATAAGATTTAAGAACCACCACTGGTTTGTTCACTTTTTTCATATGACGGTCTACTTTTCTCCATTTACACCCAGCCAGGTTTGCGTCTGGTCTGGTTTGTTCACGTGGTCTGATCGACAATCACCGCGGCGTGGATGCACAAGCATCCACCGGAAAACCAGACGATAAAACAAAAGGCGTATCGACAGGATCATTTTGTTTTCAGTAGACGTTACATAGATTGGTAACATTCGTAGGTATAATATAATAATAATAATAATAATAATAATATAAGAACAATATAATAATAGAGCTGACTTTCAGCTAAGAAGCAAATTGGCGAAGTAGATGCCAGAGCAAAACGACTGTCCAGGTTGACTTCGAATTCATTCAGACCAACAGGGAGAAAAGCACAATATACAGATCGGCACTTCCGATAGCAACACCCACGAAGTGTTCGACCACAATTGACAGAGTTCATTTTAAAATGCAAGGCAGGTTGTTTCGGTCAATTACCGGAATCACTCAATCAGTTAATGAGTCAATTAATTACTCGTCCGATCAACCAATCACCATATCGAACACTCAACATGTGCATTGACCATTGGTACACGAGGAAACCATGAGAGTGGAGATACCCACATGTGAGGCCAACACAGCACCACAGACGGCCAAGAAAAATGACCACTCACGATTGAATTTGATCAGGTACAGTATCACTGCAATCATCAGGGCCGCTGTACCCAAGTAAAGCAACACGAGTCGTGTAATCAGGTAACTCTGTCGAACGATTGTCTCCTGAGAGCAGTAGGCGACTAGATCAAGCATGAACACGATCAGAATACACGCAGCGCCACCGACAAGAAGTCCGAATACAGTCAAGACCATGTCCCGATTGTATTTACAATCTTGATACAGGTTTCCGCAAGACCAACCATCGGTAGCCAGAGCCGCAATAATTAGAGCCAAGGCTGTGCCCAAGACGAACACACCAACCCGTCGGGACTGCACAATTACGACCGTCATCCTTCGACCAGTGTCCAAAACAATCTGGATTCCCACACACAAATAAACGTTTTATAGCGTATTAAATCTTTCCATGCATTGGTTCGTCTGGTAGACACGTGAATGCGACAGAGACAATTAACCGTTTGTTCTGATTGGTTAAAACAAAGGCACATTGGACCAATCAGAGGTTTGCACACGTGACAAACAATAAACATGTGGACAGTTTGTGCGGGCCGAGAACGCTCCTACAGAGAACGAACGACGTTGTCTCACGTGATACAATCGGTTTACACACATGGAGCATGCGACCAGTTGATCAACGACGGCGTGTCTGGTTTAAGCAGGAGTGGGTAAACAGAGAAACCGAGGTTAGCGAGTCCCAGAGACGCATCATATTTCTCTACAACTTACACGATTTTGTCACTGATTGAGGAGGAAGAACTAAAAGAACAATAAGTAAAGTGATAAGCAAAGCAAAAATGTATCATTCTCTGAAACTAACGAAACTTCCATGAAAACTTATAAAAGAACAGTTGGCATGTTTTCTCAATTTTCACTGTCCAAACGGGCAAACGTTAGAAGCCACAATCAATAAATTTTGCTTAATATGAATAAAAAGGATGATTCTAAAACATTGTGTGGGTGTACGTGCGGGTAGGTGGATTAAGCCGTTTCACATTTGCCTAGTTGATGAAAACACTTCACGTTAATTCAAACGATACAGAGTGATTAGGATCGTTCACAAGTAAAGAAACAAATGACAAAATTATTTTTCCTAAACCATCATTGAGCAAAATGTTCACCTTACAACTAATCAAGACTGACCGAGTTTGATCAATCTTTTACAGTGAAATGAACACTGCTTTTGATGTGCATTAGCCAACTAGTGCGAAGAAAATACACATTTTGCGTAAGTTGTTGAGATGGCAAAATAATCTTTGGTTAGGAAGTATAGGCTGCTGCATGTTAGCAAATGATCTCAGTGTTTTGATTGTACCAGTATTCCACTACGCTTTCACAGTTTATCCGTAACCAGACCCCAACAATGGATTGCATGTTGAGTGACGTCAAAACAGGTAATTATTGCCTGAGGAAGGGAAATGAATTTGAAACAGGGTCGTAATAAACTTACTTATTTTGGAATAGGTATCCATGGGGACATGGGAAAAGTCATATGTGAGAACTCGGACAGAAACATCCTAGAGGTCGAATGAACACCGACTTTTATTATTCTATAGACTGAAGTGCAACACTCGGACAATGACCGTCATGTTTTCTGAATCACCAATTTGTTCCAGATCTGAACTACGGCTTTTCTTCTTTCTGTTCTGCACTAGAATTAAAGGTCATGCGGTGTTCTTATATGGTTTTGAGCTATATTATCAATATCTTAAATCTAATCTGACCGAATGGTCTACAGTTATCCAAAAATCGCAGGAAAACAAAATAATATTGACAGTATTCGGGATTCTAAATTACATACATGCTTTCTAGCTTTTATTCGTTAACAGATGGTACGCTGTGGCCATACGGATTCGAGTGCATGTCTGTAGCTCTAGGGCACCCTCGACTCAAGACCGTCGGTTTGTTATGCTTTGCGGATTTATTGTATTCTCCCGGCCCCCACCAATCAACAGGAAATCTGACCGTTGTCGGTTTCTGGCCGTTCCATGAATCGTTTTGTCACTTAATGTCTCATATCACTGAGTTTGTGACCCGAGGACCACCATTAAAATGTAAGAATATACGTGCGGTGATCCGGGCCCACGAGATGACGCGTACCCTGCAGCGACGCGTTACAGTTTCTGGACGACTACGATCAAACTCCACGGGTGACATCAGTGACGCGAGTGCGTGTCACTACTTCTGACTACATAACATAGGTCGACTGTATCAGCCAATCAGAAGCAGAACGATGCAAGTAATAATGGAACGCGATTGGTAGAAGCCCGGATAACCAATGAACTTACTGTGTACATATTATTTAATTCTCATAATTTCTTCCAGTAACTTAACTACTACTGCTGAGGCCTTCCCTTGCGTCTCAGTTACGTAGGATATTGCGTGCTAGTGCCAGTGTAGTACAGTGCCTATGTGATTGTTAATCTTTGATTCGTATTCCGTGATCCGTATTGCGTGGATTGTATTCCGAGTTCAGTACGTATTACTATTACTACTAATACAAGTACCACAATGAGCTAACACAAGTTAGACAAATACAAATACACAATCAGCTTTCCGTAAACCTTAAGACGAATGCTAAATACGGTTCTCCTACTGAACGCGGACTAATCTAGTTGGTTCTAAGCCTTATCAAAAACGAGTGGGTAGAAATTCTGCAAAGATTATCGTACTTTGGGCATCATCAAACTGTTTAAAGAGTAACCACCACCGCACTGCAGCCGGTTGGAGTTCCGAACACTGCAGAAGGTGATATGCTGCAGCAAATATCCTTATCTCAATAATTCTAATTCAAGCAACGTTGACTAAACTTTGAATAGGGCTTATCATATAGGTGTCATGGTAATAAGTTGACCCCAATTATCACGCCGCATAGCTCACGATTTCGAAAGCAAACAGGAATTGGTTATTTTTAAAGACCCCATATTTTTATCGATAGTGCTCACGCGATCAACCAAACTTTTATGATAGACAGTTTTACGTAATAATCCATTTAAATTTATAATGTAAATCGTGTCACGCCCAGTGAAAGTTTCGCATATTCCATTTGGATTTGATACCCTGGTGAACATCCAGAAATTCACCATCGCACTGTAGTTTCTTCGATTTTTAGTGACGCATGCGAACTTAGTATGCACCGGGCGTTGACCATCAGATCAAATCCATCCGCATTACCATGGGGACGAATGGGTGCTTATTATTGGTCTCTGGTTGCTTCACCTTTCTCATTTAAACAAATAGAAGTTGAGTTCACCAGAAATATCGGGTCATTACGTCAATCGTTCCCTCGAGGTGCAAGCGGAGTGCGAGTAAAAGTTCTACTATGGCGTGGCTCAGTAACCTACCTACCGAACAAGTAACACCATCAACAATACCATCAGTCGTTGTTGGGTATCCATCGTCGCTCAGGAACTGATAACCAAATCGTGCACGAAATATCACCAGAGAGGGGTAATTCAAAACTAGTAGCTAGCTAGTGGCTTAAACATGAACTTCTGACCCTTTCTGTTCACCGTACACCAATATGGATCTACTGGTAAAAATGCAGCGTGTCAACAAATGAACCATGATCGGCAGTTAGTGGAAGCAGTGTGCGTTATGATAAAACTAGGGATCACAAAACTACCAGTAAAATACGATACTGACGTTATGACGCTAATTAGAATTCAGGACTATGGTTTTGTTGTTCATTGTTGTTTATTCAGTGTGGAAATCTCAAAACGAAAACAATTCGCGTATTTCCACAACCAGAGGAAGAATAATTCAGAAACTGATCTGTCCGAAATCAAGGAAAATCGTTTGAAGTTTTGAATTATGAAGTGTGATCGAGAGAAAATGATGACACACGAAACCACTTTACACATCATTTGGGTTGCCAATAACGGGAACATGAATTTTCCATTCCACAACGTCCGTTGATTTCTGAAGCGAACCATACATTGTGTGTTGAAATGCTGAAACAGTTGTGGCATTCGCCGCTTCTACTGCTGCTACTGCTGCTGTAGAACGTGTTTCACCTTAATTTCTAAGCTTCAGGTGGTACCAAGTTTATCACTCCGACTACAGCTGCGGTCGTTGATCGATCGCAGCCATTATGTCATCATCTGACAGCTCGTTTGTTCAAATCCTGTCTCAAGCGGTCTACTGAACCGCTTAAAAATTGGCCGCCTTCTACAGCCCCACCTGTTTCTTGTTATTTATCAAATAAATGGAATTTAAGTAATGGGTAACACAGATTAAGCGATTGCCACGAAAATCGTCTTATTCTTCGGTTGATTTTGTAAATAAAAGTGAGATGACCCAACTGAAAATCCAGTAGTCTGTAGTATAAAGGTTGCCTTGACAGTTTTGTGGTGGAATTGCGTTTGCAATCAAATAGCTGGAGCTCGAACTCGGATAGAAAATCCAACGAATGGCACAAGTCAGGTAGAAGCTCGACGATCTGTGGATGTGGTCTATTGTATTCAGAAAAGCAAGCACCTAAACATCACAAATACTAACTATAAATTAGTCCCCAGTATATCTAGTGTGTGTGGGCCATTTCTGAGCTGCCGTCACCTAATTGTTTAATGAACTACGCTTTACATTTTCCGAGCAACGAATTGGAGGCCAAGAGTCTAGACCAATCACACACTATAGTGTGATGAGCACAACACGAATTACAATTGGTTAATATTTGGCTAGCCTATGATAATTCTTTGTCCATATTCTCCCACCCGTTTTGTTTATTTCAATAAACTAACCACTCTTTTCGAGATCTTTATTCTGTCTCTCGGTGAAGGCAGATTTCGATAACGATGCTCAGCGCGATTCCAAGTTCAGATGGCGATAGTGATTTCATTTTTCGATTCACGTCTATTATGATCAATACATTAACTTATAGCATTCAACCAATCCGACTACAGCGGCTTAAGTTCATCCCATTGATTAGAATCTATCTCCAGTTTTTCCCTCTGGAAGCTGAGCAGCGGGGAATGAATGCTGAGATTTGATCTCACTGCACGTTCATCACAATTTAAGTACGATACAACAAAATTTCTAAAAGAAATGACTTTAGTTTTTTGAGTATACAAATGTAAAATCAACGGTCAGAAAGGGGGCTAAAAAAGGTAAGATTACCTGGGGAGTGCAGAAATAAGAAAATGGGCTGCGATTGGAGATTTAAGTTCAGAGAATCCCGATAGCCGTTTAAATGGTTCCAGAATATCACCGGTAGACGTTGTGTCTCTTGATTACACTGAAACCTACTTGACCTAACTGATCTCTGCTTTAGCGCATTCAAAACCAGCCCAGCATATATGTCTCTCTTAGTTTTGTTCTTAATAGACGTATGAACA